CTAATACGTTTCAATGGCAACACGTTGTGTTGATTATGATTGAGAGGGCACTAAAAAATACTAATTAATAAGATAATTAATTTTCAGTTCTTTCCACAAAAAACTTGATATACTCATTTGCCTAATAGAAATTTCTTTGTATTTTTTTCCACCAACACGTAATCTTACTATTCCATAAATTTTCTTGATTGGTAAAATACTTTCGGAATGACATTAAAAATGTTATTCCGCCGTTCAGCGGAGATACCAATCACAGCAGTAATAGTAAGAGAAAAATATATACTAAAATCTCATATTTCACATTCTTCTTTTTTGTAGGTGATCCGGGCAAGTCCAACTAATTTCACAGCACATGCGATATTGTATAAGTAGGATTATGCATCGTCCGAACAAAATCCACATTGAATATATACGAATTTCTGTTCAAAGACTTAGGTTGTCATTCTTTCACCTGACCTGCTGAATTAAAATATTTTTTTTTCAACTGATAGGATTCTAATCTTTTAAATTGTTTCACCCATGGAACCATTAACTAAAGCCAGCTACACTAGGGTTAATTATTAAGAGTACATATATAGTCACAAGAAACACTACGAAGGTGGGGAAAGTGCATCATCATTCATACAAAAAAAAAAGCCATATAAATCTCTTGAAATCCAATCCTTTCCTTCTTCTTTTCCTTTCTCTCCCAACCACCACACCACAATTAAACTACATAAAACAAGAAAGGACTTAGTTGGGTAAGCAAACTCAAATAAACCCAAGAGAATCTTTTTATAATCAATTTTTCTTAATTTGTGTTTAAGAGCCAGAATCTCTTTATGGCTTGCATGTTTTCCCATAAGCCCTCCGAGTACAAAAGCACCTAAAGAAGATGGTGAGGTGAGTCCCCAAAGACATATGTTGCCTAGACTCTAAGCAAAAACTAGAGATGTGATTCTTACCATATCCATTTCTTAATGACAACACTAACCTAAACCCTATAATTACTTAAGCTTTATATCATATCATCAACCACTCCCCAATGTTTATCTTTTGATCACTCGTCGAATACAATAAGTTAAAAAATTATGAATTTGTTAGACTAAGTCCTCACTTTGAATAGATAATTGCTTTAGTTTCCAATTCGAAAACAATTTTAGTATAGGTGAT